ATTAGTTCTCCTCGGTCTTCAAAGCCATTATCCTCTCATTTTCCACCAATCTATTATATTTTCTAGTTTATACGTTATAACTTTTTTTCTCTAGCATTTGATTGTCATTGTTGGTTTTGTTGTTATTTTTGCTTTTTTGTTGTTATTGCTCTTGGACTTCTGTAAGTGCTTTTATAATAATTTTTAATTTTGGTTCAAGTTGTCTTCTCTTGTCTCCATTGCTCATTTACACTTTCATTTCCATTAAGAGTTTCCTAATCTATTTATTTTGCACACTGCAAGCTAGGTGCCATTTAACAGATTGTCTTCATAGGGTACCTTTAAAAAGAGTGGGAAGTCCTGTTAGACTCCCGGGACAAGCATTTCTACTCTCTAGTTTCCTTAGCTGGCGCTCTCACAGTGTCACAATGGAGAAATGCATCTGTTTGGCTCCTCTAGCTCCCAAGGGGCCCAGGAAACCAGTCCCTCCTGCAAGGCAACATTCATTCCTATTGGGGCTACAAGAAAGGTGGCCAGCTTCTCTCTGGAACCGCCAGGCTACAGCTATCATCTGGCTCAAAAGGAAAAGTACTTGTATCAGCTTGGTGTTTCAGGAGTCTACCAGAGTTGAGAATCTATTTACACCCTTGATCGCTACTCAGCTCAGAGGAGGTGAGGAGTCACCTGGGAGATGAGTGGTAGAGACACCATTCAAACTACCATCAGGCCAGAATCCTGGATTCATATTTACAGGAAGACTCAGACAGCTTCTCTAAAGTCCTTGTGTTTCTTCACAAAAGAGGGTTATCCTTGGTAAGAGGCAGATCTGGCATTTGGAATATTCATATAAAGATGGACTAGTGCTCAGGACACAGCCCAGTAGGGACGTGCAACAGTGGAGAAGCAGTGCTTGTGAGATCGACTTTCCCTCTTCTCTTTCCTGGCAAAATCCCCCAAACTATACTTGAACTGGCCTTGGACCAGCAATATCATGAGGAAGGAAGAAGAAGTCATGTTTGTGGGAGCAGAGAGCTGGGGGGAAGGGAGAGCAGTTGAGCACTACCAATAATGGTAAGAATGAAGAGAAGGCAAGTCTCAAAGAGGGGAGTTTCTGGGGTGGAACCACATGGTCTGGGAAGACCAGAGGTGAGCAAACAAATAAATCAGTCAGTTCATGTCTTTGCCAAGCTGCCTTCCTCCTTCCCTTTCCCTCTTTGCAAAGTTATTTTCTATTTTGCTTTCAGTTATGTATAAACACAGATACAGTGCTGTTTTTTCAGTTTTAAAAACAGACAACCTTCCTCCCTACAAACAAAAAATAAATGGTAGTCTTTTTATTTTACAGTACTGAAATTCACAACCCCAATAGTGGTGATCGACTAACTTGAACACTTTGGGTTTGGACCACAAAAGTGGTCATTTTCAAGCTTATGGTTCAGTAGAAACAATGTATTCCTATTTGCAGACATCACCTCTTTTCAAAGTTCACTCTCATGGCCAGTGTTCCTTGTTGGAGTTGATAAGCATGTATAGGTCAAGGATACTACAGGCAATGCATAGCACAGGGATCTGCAGCACAGAAAAATAGTTCTTTTAGTTTATCATTTCTCCAAAAGCTGTGGGATGATTTTATGCAGCTGTTCCACAAGAAATTTGCCTCAGACCTGACAGGATGAATTCTTTTTAAAGACAAATCCAAGAAAATAGTATCCAATAATGTAAAACAAGCCATTGTTACTGTAATCCCATCACACCTACAGAGAACTCCACAGCTGCTATCAGAACAACTATTTCCATCACCAATAAACCACATGAAGAGAGTTTAAAAGAGAGAGAGAGAGAGGTCTATGTGAGATCCAGGCAAACAACACATGACTGTGATAATGAAATCAACCCCAGCTTTACAGTATCTAAATATAACATGTAATTAACAGTAGCCACCTGCCAGTCAGCAAAGTCATAAAATAATTAAAATCAGGTTTGATAATAGGACATAAAATTGGCTGATAAAAATAGAAACATCATATTCCTTTATTTGTATTTTCCATGTAACTGCACTAAGAGGTTTTTTTGTTTCTTGTTTTTTTGGTTTTTGTTTGTTTTTTGAGTCAGGTTCTCACTCTGTTGCCCAGACTGGAGCGCAGTGGCACAATCATGGCTCACCACAGCCTCAACCTCCTGGACTCAGGTGATCCTCTTGCCTCAGCCTCTCAAGTAGCTGCGACTACAGACACTCACTACCATGTCCAGCTATTTAAAAAAAATTTTTGTAGAGATGAGGTCTTGCTATGCTGCCCAGGCTGGTCTCAAACCCTTGGGCTCAAGTGATCCTCCAGCCTTAGCCTCCCAGAGTGCTTGGATTACAAGCATAAGCCACCATGCTGGGTACTAACAGGGTTTCTGCTTATCCCTTCCTCCAGCTGAAGTCACATTTTCCTGTCATTCAAGGAGTAAGTGGACATAGGATGGACAGGCTGCCTTAAAACTCCATGGACAAGCTAAATTAGCATGATTCTTTGGAATTGTTTCAAAGATATTTGGCTACTATTAATATTTTTAATTTTTCATTTTTATTACGGGTATGATGTCAAGAGCTGTGGCAGGAAGCACATTTTGTCAATTCAATAATTAATCCCACAGCATAATAGTGTGCGAGGAAAAATTGACATTTGTCAGGTTCAAAGAAAATGAAAGCTGGAAAGATTTTTCACTATACTTGCTCAAGAAAAACATCTGATCGCAGACTTTCCGGATTCATTTCTCTCCTACACTTACGGCTCCTGCTACAAACAGTCCCCATCTCAAAATGCAGGAAAGGAGAAGCACTGGCTACTTCCCTTGCCCTGGTCCTCAGCCTCCCAATTACAAAATTCACCAATTTACTTCCTAAATACACCTGCAGTTTGCTCATCCCTCACTATCCACGCCGTCATTACTGTAATCCAAAATCAACTCCAATCAACCAAAGGGTGCCTATGCTACTGAACTGCCCGTTTTCTGCTTTGGCAACTGCACAGGGGCTAGAAGCCTGAGTGCCAGGGGCAGACAGGCCTTGGATTCGAGCTCCCGCTCGGCTGTGGTGAGCCATGGGCTCCGGGCCTCTCCAACCTTCCAATGTCTCAATCTGTGAGAGGAGGATACTGCGGGGTGGCCCCGTCACACCGTCTCTTCTGCCTCCAGTCCATTCTCACCATGCTATCCTGCCCCTGACAAGGCCTCCATCAGTCTCCTTGCTCCCTTTCTCCCTCCTATGCCCCCTGCATTCTCCAGCCCTCTGCTTGCAAGAGCTGAGGAACAGTACTTCTTGGTCCCCTGAGGACTTCAGACCCAGGGTTTCCACAAATGCTGTTGCCTGATCATTCACAGTCTGCACTGGATGGACGCTGCCTAGGAGGGGGACGTTCCAGGGTGCTATTTTTAATTCGTGGAAGCATCCGCCTTGCTGCCAAAACTAAACATTTGCTTGGGGTGGAGAAGGAGTCCCTCAACACACTTTCCACATGGGCTACTTTTCCCTTCTAAGAATATTCCCCAGTGTAGGTTTTGTTGATTTGTCTTTTTTGGTTTTTTTCCCAACAGGGCACTAAACAGTTATTTTGCTGCAAAAAGCAAGACTTCATATTTGGTTCAGATCACATGCGTTTCTACACTCCCAATTATTTTTTAAATTGGTGGAAAATGTACACTGAGAATCTATGTCAGCTGTGGAGACAATAGGAAAGAAAAAATTGGGTTTAGAATTATAATAAGTTGTACAAGAACTAAGAATACATATCTCAAACATATGTTCTATATCTCCCCTAAAAATGGATTTAAAACGTTAAGCTATTTTGTCCCTTTTTATAAAATTTGATACTAGTAATTAGTACGGCATGCTTTAGGGGGGAAAAAAGATCCCTTCTTAGCAAATCAAATGAGTTTTCTTTGATGTAAACTGGTTTGGGTGAGTGAACACTATTTCAATCTAGTTAGAATGGTTCTTTGCACAATGCAGGGAAGAAAAGAACCATGGAAAATTTTCAAACTTTTGAACGATTTATTGCATTATTACTTTTTCTTAAATGTGTTCCTGCCCAATATCAGACTGTTAGTCACACTGTCTGTAAGGTGATTGGAAAAGAATGAATATATTTTTATTATTAAAGTTTAATTTATTTTTCCTCATTTCCAGATTAAATTAGCTAAGGGATGCTAAGTTCTATGTAAATTGGACTGTGCATTACAAATGTAAGAGGATTTTATTTTTATTAGCAGTCATCTTGTCCACTTCTCAAGACTGTATTTGAAGAAACAAAATGTAACAATGTATGACTAATATAAAATAAGTTCCTCTTAAGTGTGGAAATCCATAGGTTTAGGATTGTGAAGTTAAGTTACAGAAGTCATGAATCACTATGCAGGCAGAAAACAGAGTGTAAAAATGTTCAACAAATATATGTGAAAGACCAAATCATAATGAATTACATTATGGAAACTAGGAAGTCTTAGGGGGTGACCTTAAAATACTAGGTTGCCTGGGAGAAAGAAAACGGAATCCGTCCGTGATAGGCTCTTGTGTGAATCAGGCAGAGGAAATGGTGGGATGGAGAGATCATGTGATCCATCTCATGAATAAGGATAATAATTCTCACTTTCCTAGGAGGGAAAGATGGGTTTCCTCACCAACAGTTCCTGTTCTCCTATCACCCGTTCTAACCACAAAAGCAATATTTGTGAGCCCTAGAGACCTGAGTTTCAAGTTTTTGCACAAACACGTTGGCCATGTGCAGAATCATATGAAATGCGGAGCTTTGGGATTATTCTCCATATGAATCAGTACCAGAGTCTGGGGGTCAGTGTGCCTCTAGGTGGTTTTCCACAGTATTTTCTGGAATACTGTGTGATCATGTCCCAAAACCTGAATCAGTGGATAGGACACCAAAATCAGAAAATAACCATGCCACCTTGGGGGGAAAATGTGACACCTACGAGTTAGCCACATTTGCACATGCCTTGTTCTTTTTACTAGGACAGTCACCTACCTTGTCTAGTGTACTCGTCTGCTTCTCTGTGAACCAAATCCTTTACTCTGTTTCCATAAAGCAGCCGCGAGGAATCATGATCAAAAGCTTTCAGAGTCTCACTGGAACTGTAAGACTTCTGCGTGGGTACCCTACACTCCTCATTGTCTGCTGAGGAATTTGTGTATCGCCGCTCTTTCTCTCGTCTGCTCTTGGTCAGGGAGCAATAAGGCCTACGTTCTTTCACATCCATACTTCATTCCTTCTGTGTGCACATCAGTCCTGCTTACAAATTATGCTCAGGGTTCAATTCTCATTGGTCTCTCTGTAAAGATAAAAGGTTTGCATGACGTCAACATAATATTCATCTAAAACCTGACTATTCGTCTCAATCTGGAGAATGGTGGAAAACAATAGTATTGCCTGTCTAGGAAGCTTGCTTTCAACAAGAAATTAATATTTGTGAAATCAGTGTGAGCTATTTTGTATCACCAAGAGGTGAGGCATACTTTCTGCTAATGAGAGCTATAGGTGTTTGTTTAAATGCCTATATCTGATTTTACCTATTAATTTAAAAAAATTACCCTGTATATTGGATGTAAAAAAAAAAAAACCAACAAAAGCAAACAAACAAACAAACAAACAAAAACTTACCCTGTAAGATGGATGTAAAAAAAAAATTAACCTCAAGTTCAAATTTCACTATAGAAACCAGCTAAAAATTGGCTTCTGTAGTTTGTTAAATAATCCACAATGGAAAAGTTTTCTCTTGAGGCATTTTCTCCATTCACAAATAAATTCCTTTTCTTTTTCTTACAAAAACATACTATTTTTTTCTTTTTCATTTTTTTTTAAAGCAGGAAGAAATTGGGAGCTTCTTACAATTGAAACTTTTTCAAATGCATTGAACATTTTATTATTTTTTACATAGACTTTTCCTTCTCAGGACACAATTTTCCTGTTTTAAGGACCTAAATGTCTTGAACTGTGAAAAAAGCTGGTCCTTCTCTTATATCTCTCTGCTTAAAATGCAGTTTCCTCTCTAGCAAATGAATTTAATCAGCGCTGTCCTGATATTTAAGGCAATTCAAGTGGCTAATTTGGTGGGGTAGTTTCCTGTAACTGCTGGTAGCAAGAATGAGTGAGGCAAATTGTGTTTCTTTACTTGGCAACTCTCTTTTTCCTGAATGTGCTGAGCTGACCATGGAAAGGGTGAGTAGAAAAGGAATAAGGTGGGAGAGCTGCCCAGGGCTAATCTGCATTTTAAGTGGTCTTCCTTTGTCTCCATTCCTTCAGTTGTGGTCCTCTTTTTTTGTTGTTGTTTGTTTTTTTGAGTCAGAGTCTCACTCTGTCACCCAGGCTGGAGTGCAGTGGCACGCTCAGGGCCACTGCAGCCTTGACCTGCAGGGCTCAGGTGATCCTTCCGCCTCAGTCTTCCAAGTAGCTGGAACTACAGGTATGCATCATCAGGCCTGGCTAATTTTTCTTGATTTATTATAGAGATGAGGTCTTGCCAAGTTGCCCAGGCTGGTCTCAAACCCGTGGGCTCAGGCAAGTGCCTCACCTCGGCCTCCCAAGGTGCTATGTGGTCCCTCTTTTTATCCGGAAGGTCCTTGGAGGCTCTGTCTCCAGCCCTTGGTGTTTCCTCTCACCATACTTCTTTCCTCAATTCACTTTCTCTTTGGGGGATTCCATAATCCACTTGGAATCAGTGGTTCCCAGCTGGCCCAAGATCTTCTCTTGGGTTCTGCACCCTTAGGCTGTGATCTGTTCGGGGAGGATTTTTCTCCATGGAGAGTGAGTCCTTTTCCCAAGAGTCGCTCTCACTCTCTTTCTCTCTCTCTCTTCATCATTTGCCATCAGTATACACATCTCACAGCTCTCCAGTGTGCTTCCAACTTGGAGTCTTGGAGCTGACTCTCTCCCATGCCGACTCAGTTTACACGGAAGTAGGAAGAAGTCTCCATGCTCAACATGACAACTGTCCCTTTCCACTTGTAAACGTCTACTTGCCATCCAGACTCCCTGGGCTGGAACAATCCAGAGCCTGGGCTTGGAGAGGGCTGGGCTGCTCCTACTGGCTCTTCAGTCAAACTCTCCCCTCCCCTCCCCGTATTGCCAATAAAGGAAGCCCTCACATGGGGTCCCACATTTCTCTGCTGTTGGCTTCAGTCAGGCTGCTCAAAGTAGTTGCTAATATTTTAGTTTGGGGCTGAAATGTATCTTGATGTCTCTACCTTTTTTTTTCTTTTCCATGAATCTGACTTTAAAAAAAAAACTAATATTTTTCACTGACTCCTTTTGATTCATTACTTCACTATTCTCTTTACAAATTCTTTCAATAGCTCCTAATAGAAATTTAATTTCTCATATCCTAACTTTCCTTTCAATTTAAAATAAATAGTTTTAAAGTTTGGTGATGATATTTTTACACAACAGGATTAAAACAACACACCAATTCACATTTTTTATCCCAACAGAGAGAAGTGACTTTAGATAAATATTTACAGAATAATTACTGGGTGTTAGGCTATCTTTCCAGCGCCAAGAACAAGGTGTGAATAAAACAAAGTTCCTGCCCTCAGGGCACACACATTTAGTCAGGGAAACAAGTACAATTTTTCTAATAGAGTGAATAAACATGTCTGAGCTCAAGGGAGATTTTGTTTCCAAAACTGTCTCGATCTCTTTGGAGAGGCCATTTAGAGCCTTAAATTTAAATGATCGTCAAAAAGGTTTTAATTGACCAGAAAAATATAATTTAAGCACTTTTTAGTAATAGAGATTTGGGAATAGAAATCATTATCAAAATTTCATTTCTTGCCATAAGTCAACATCTATTTTAAAATAAGTGTTGCTATATACACATATGCATTCATTCTTGTATTTTAAAAGAATCCAAGACTGGACTGATAGAAGCAAAGAGAAGTTGTTTTCCTTCTATTGAGTTAGACCAGCTATTGACTTGACAAACTCTGATCTGCTAGCAAAGTCTGATCCACCATCCATTTTGTAAATAAAGTTGTACCACATTTGTTTGTATTGTCCTTGGCTATGTTCATGCGACAAAGACAGAGTTGAATGGTTGCGACAGAAATTGCAGTGGTTTGAATGATGTCTCCCAAAAAGATGTGTGGTCCCGGTACTTGTAAATGTAGCCTTATTTGGAAATAGGGTCTGTGCAGATATAATTGAGTTAAGATGAGATCATACTGGATTAGGGTGGGCCCTAAATACAGTGACTGGTGTCTTTTTTCCTTTTTTTGAGTTGGGGTCACACTCTGTTGGCCAGGCTGGAGTGCAATGGCACAATCACAGCTACTGCAGCCTCAGCCTCCCGGACTCAGGTGATCCTTCCACCTCAGTCTCTTGAGTAGCTGGGACTACGGATGCACACCACCATGCCCAGCTCTGAGGTCTTGCCATGTTACCCAGACTGGTCTCAAACTCCTGACCTCAGGTAATCCTCTTGCCTCCTCCTTCCAAAGTGCTGAGATTACAGGTGTGCGCCACCACATCTGGCCAGGGTGTCTTTATAAAAGACATGAGAAGGAGATTTGGGCACAGCAACCCACAGGCACGCAGGAAAGAAGGCCGTGTGAGGGGGGAGGCAGAGACGGGAGGGAAGCAGCTACAAGCCAAGGAACACCCAAGGCTGCCGGCAGCCATCAAAAGTTCAAGAGAGGCAGGGAGCAGATTCTTCCCTAGAAACTGACAGGGAGCCTGGACCTGTTTACACCTTGATTTCACACTTCTTGCCTCCAGAAGTGAAAGCACCACTTGCTGTTGTTTTGAGCCACCAGGTTTGTGGTTCTTTGTTACTGCAGCCACTGGAGTCTCATGCAGACACCTCATGGCCTGCAAGTTGAGCCTTTTTCTATCTGGGCCCTCGAGTTAAACATCTCTCCATTCTCTTCGTCCCTTTGGATCTTTGAATGTGAAAGGTGTTCTCTTTATGGATAGTTTTCTTGAGACAATTTTACAGTCTTGCAAATTAGAAAATCATGCAGTTATTTTAATATGGTAATATGAGCATATATTCTCACAATTAAAGCTTCCATTTCATGGTAATGTCACCAAATTTTATAAATCATTTGTAAATGTTATGAACCTAATCATAAAATGATAATTGTAGGTATTCTGGAGATTTATAGAACATCTCTAGCACCAATTGTCTGAGTTTCCTTTATTTGTGAAGCAATTCTACAGTGCCGATATAAATCCAGATGTAGTATTCAAATATACCATCAAAGATGAAGGCAATGTGATCTTCGTGACTCCAAACAATAAAAAGCCCTTTGTATCTGTCTTTTCAATTTTGTACATAGTTCAAACTCTTCAAGGATTTAATCTACACTGTAATGTTTGCAACTACTGATATGATTCATTGATGGAAGTCAATGAGTTCGATATGACTTCAAAAGGCAGTTTTCTATGTTATCTCTTCCACTCAAGGCTGAAGATGAGAAGGTTAAGAAATGCAGCTGCTTAAGCGATGCGAGTTGTTGAAGCACTTTGATGGTAACTGCACAGTCCTATACAAGAAAGAGGGTCACTGTGTGCATATTCAGCAAAAAGCACTTAATGAACAGGATATTAGCTGCATCAGTGGGCGAAGTCTTTGAAAAATAAGGGAAGCTATTAGAAAGAAAGTTAACCAAAAACCTTTGAGAGAACTGACACCAGCAAGTACACAACAATATCAAACTGGTTTGGCTAATTTTTATAAGTTCCTTGAAAAACAACACAATTACTAACCATAGCACTCCTCTGTAAATCACAGTTGATCTTAAAACAAGCTGGATTACTTGGTTATTGTTTTTGCTTTTGTTTTTGATCAATAGTTTGCTAAGTATTTGACTAAATGAATGAATGGACAGGCAGGTTCTGACTTACGGACCCTAGACTTAGGGTGATCCTATCCTTCAGACATATGATTTAAATATGCTTTGGAACTTGACCAGAGAAATGAACATTACTATATTGTTTCATAACTTGTTTCGAATCCCAAAGAAACATTTTAAAATTGTACTTTTAGAAAGTAACTTGATTTCAACTGGAGTCTGTATATATTTAAACCCCTGATGCCAATGAATTACAATGAATCAGGCCTATAACCACTCCTAAAATCAGTTGAAGTTCTAAAATTTCATGAGTTTATGTACCTATGTAGTGACTGAAATAAAAACAAATATCCAAACCTAAAAGATTAAATAGCTTGTTGGTCTTCCACCATTATCTGTTTTCTGTAAGAGAAACAAATTCTTGAATATCTTCTACATAAACTGCCCTGCTATCTCAATTATAGTTTGGAAAAACTCACTCCC